TTTTTTTTTTTTTTTTGAATGTGACTCTTAAAGAATGCAAAACCTGGGTATCTTATTAAATTATGGAATAAGAAGTAAAATGGGCCTTATTTTTATTATTATTAGAGGAGTCAAGGTATCGTGTCTTGATAATTATACACAAACAAATATTAAAAATTAGAATATAAGAATTTTTTTTACGGTCTACTAAAAAGTGGAGATCAAAAAAGTGGTTACTAAAGTGTATCTCCTTTATAATAGGTATAGATTATTATTATTATTATTATTATTATTATTATTTTGATACTGAAAAACGTAGATATCCTATTAAATTTTTTAGAACAAAATGTAAAAGGGCCTTTTATCTTTTGTGTAACACGGGATAGAAAAATAAAAAAGGACAAAAAGAAAATATAGATAAAAAGTATTCTTACTTAATCAAATTTTATTTTTTTAGTCGCAATTATATTTCTTATTTTGAACAATAGATGAGAACATCTTTTGTAAGATAATTTTATATATGATAACATCTTCGTTTGCGAAGTTAAAAGTAAATTTTATACTTTCAAATCATTTTTAATAAGTATTCAACTAATTTGTTTTAAATATTATTAATTCTAACTATTAATTTAGTAAAATAGCATTAAAAATATTATTGAATACAATTTACACACTACTGTCAATAGATAATTAATATCAATTCATTTATTAAATCTTTTAAGGATGACTAAGGTTTCAAACTAATACTAACTAATCATATAAGAATCAACAAAAATTTAATAGTTACTCACGAAAATCAACAAAAAAACAAGTGCAAGTCTAAATAATATAGTACCCAACCTATACCATACACACGTATATTTTGTAATTAATATTTTAAATGTTTTTAAAATTGTTGGATGTTGCACGTGTTATTAATACTTTTTGTTTCACTAATTTTTTTATAATTAAATTAATATTAAAAAAGTTTCTTGTTAGCATTAAGATACACTAAAATAATTCATTTACCTATAATGATAGTAACAAGTCTAAGTATATAATTCATAGACATATAAACAGTGTTAAATCAATAGAATTGTCTTAGTTGTGGAGATTGAGTTAAGATAGAATACATAAGTATTAACTTGACTCTTATTGTCATCTTTATAATTCTTTTACTAAAGAATATAAAAGTGGGATTTCTTGAGCAGTTTGTTCAAAATAAAAAATTAAAAAAAAATACTTTAAAAAGAATAATTCTTTAAGAAATGAGTAGGAAAAAAAAATATAAAAACGATTGTATTTTTTAAAAAGAAAAACATAGTTTAGATAAATACATATAAAATAAAAAATAAAAAAAACTGCTTATTTTGATTTAAAAAATTGTTTTTCCCCAGAAAAACTTAAACTGGTATGGACATGGATACTAACTTATTATTCACATGAAATTTAAAGACAATTTTTTGAATGTAGTTATATTAATACAACTTTGTAAACACTATAAATTAAATTTATAATTTAGCTTTGTAATACAACAGCCTTACGAAGATACATTATAGTTTGTGTTGGATAAAACATCCAAACATAAATCATAACACTTAAAAATTAATTTTAACCCAAATCAATTTGTCAATGCTCATCAAAACACATCAAATGTGTGAATCCTTGAGTCTTGCATTTAGTAGAAATAAAAATCTCCTTTTGTAACAAAAGTAAACAAACATTCATCATATCCTACGCAATCCAATCCACTAACGTATTTTATATGACTTCAAACCAATGCAATCATCACTCCTTATTCTTCTATGCTACACAGTTCTATTCAAATTATATCATCAAAAGCCTAAAGTTGGTTGGCGTGCCTTTTTTGGGAGTGCACAATGACCCATCTAACTTATGATGGTGCATAACAATATGCATATAGACATTAATCGTTTAGTTAGGCATGTTTGAATAAACTTCTCACACAAGAACTTCAAAAAAAAAATTTCTTTCTTTCATGTGAGTTGGTCGAAAGTGAAAATCACTTCTATTTACAGCTCTTAATAACTTGTTTGATGAAATTAGAAGCTTTTAAATTATTTGTGATACCTCTGCATCTTTCTATTCATTTCTGTTTCCTTTTCATATATAGCCAAACATTTTTTCTATTTCCTTCTTTCTATTCTCTCACTCTTTTTTTTGTCATCCTTTATATAAATTTCACTTAATATGAAGAGAAAACAATATGCACTAAGCAATGGTTTTACCTTCAAAAATTACTTAAAAACCATAAAGAGAACACGAGAAATGTTATTAACAATTTAACATACCATCCCACAATAATTTCTATTTTTAGATAAATTTCATATACACTCTACTTATTAACTTGCACTCATTTTTCATTTAGTGACATCTGCATAAAACTTATCTAATAATAAAAAATGTTAAAGGAATCATTTGAACACAGCATTCGGAAAAAGAAAACATAACAGCCCAGCCAAGGCACGGTTACACCTTAGAAGTTGCTTAACTGAGCACCATGAATGTGCATTCCAAAATAAAATTAAACCAAACTATATGCATTGTAGCACGAAGATATGAAGGAAGACAACATATATATATATAACATTAATACCATGCAATTTACGATTTCTGCTGATGCCATTCACATCAGAAGATCAGAAATACAAGGAAGGTGAGACATGATTTCATTATAGAAATATCCTTTGATGCTGTGGTCTTTGATTAATCAGACTGACCTACATAAAATACTGCCAGAAACAAAGGGGGGAGGATCTAGAATCCCAAACTGCTCTATAAAATAACGTCAATGAGTAACCTAAATCAACTAGCAGGAACCAAGATCAAAAGTAGGAATCAAGATAATGATATTGGTGCTTCCTATTATACTGTAGCAAGCTTGCATAAGTCCGATCCCAGATTCCAATATACATACACTCATCATCAGGACTCAGAGAAACCCCAGAAATTTCCCCAAAGAAATCAATCTCTTGACGTTTTCTGTAGTCTGCCTTTGTACTATAAACATGCACAAAATCTGCAGGCTCAGCAACCACCATATATTGGCCATCTGAAGAAAATCGAATAGACCGGGTCGCCCCTAGGTTACCCTTGAGAATGGCGATAGGAGATGACAAGTGTCTAGCATCCCATACTCTGCAAGTCTTGTCCTGATTCCCGGTTGCAAAGGTACGTCCATCCGGATGCCATGCAGAAGCAAACGAGTAATCTCGATGACCGACCATTGTGCCAACAGTCTGAATAATCAAACAAGTCCCAAATATGTTAGTGGAAGTTTCTTCTGGTTTTTGGTAGTGTAAAGCTACAAAGTAACTACATGGTGTTCAATTTCATTGCATTCTTATTTTGCAACTTTATCTCCCTTTACCGACCCTTTTCATATATAGCATGCATTCACCGAATCACTATCCCCCATTGAGATGTTTAATTTAATAGTGACTACCCGTATCACAACATATATGGTCAACTAAAGTTTTGCTCATTTCATATTTTCTCCTTGTATGATCAATTTAAACTTAAGACAGGGAGACCAGCAATACGCGTACAAACAAATTATGTTAATTTACCGGTTTCAATTTGATCAAATTAATTCACAAAATATGGTAACCAAAGGCATGCTTCCAAAAATAACAAAGAGCTAGGGACTTATTTTATCGATTGCTTTCCAGTTTTCTACCAATAATTCAAGATTAAAAGAAAATTTCAAGTTCACAAAAAAAAAAAAAGACTAGTCTTTTTTCTCTAGCAATTGCAATATCTAAAAGCCAAATAGGAAACTTAACCAGCTTCACAACCATATACAATAATCATAGACATAAATTTAGGAGAAACAAAATTAAAGGATTTGATTCATTAGCAAACGCATCAACTAAAAGGCCATCAAAAGATAGTAAAAGAATATTCACCGGGAAATAAAGAAGGAAAAAAATGTACTCGTATTTTATTATATTTTGAAATGCATATATTACGTCAATTTTATTTTATAAGAATGAAATGTCATATTATCTTGCATTAATAAAAAAATTTGTATATATGATCTAAGAGTAAATAACTTTCAATCTAATAGTTGAATTTATAAAATTCACATTTAATATAAAATTATTGAACGATGTAATACTTAATAAAAGTTACATCAGTGTCGTTTGAACATTTCTCATATTTCTTATTTGAATATGCAAAAATAATTGATAGTGTTATGTATCTCATAAATTACACTATAACTGATATTGCATATATTGTAAGTAGATTGAGCATATACACTCATAATCCAAATGATGATTATTGAAAAAAAAAATTATGCCTTTTAAAAGTATCTAAAGATATTGTGAATTGTAGTTTATCGTTTATTAACTTTTCAACTGTCTAAAAAAGTTTTGTGATACAAATTGAAGTTCAAAAAATGATGAGATAAGTGAGTATATATTCACTTTAAGATGTGGTGTTATATTTTAGAAATCAATAAAACAAATATGTATAACATGATTTACAATGGAATTGAAATTCCTAATGCTTGAACATGCAAGTGAATAAGCATAATAGTTAAAGAAGCCTAATGACTAATATACAATTGTGGGGAGACTTACATCTCTTGTATCCCTTCATTGTGATTAATAAGTTACAATGGTTAATAGTGCTTATAATAAAAAAAGAAAAAGAAAAAAAAAAGATGCATATGTATGAGATAATATCTTGGATATGTAAGGAAATGTGCTAAAAGCCATGAATGGAGAAAGTATGATGGACACCCAATTAGTGGTCAAATGAAGTCATATGAATATTTTTATGCATTTTTTTTTGCTATGGAATGAGATAATGTTTGATATGAGGTTGAGTCATAAGCTCCTAATAAATACATAGTCCTTTATATGAGTCATATTATAGAGACACACTTGATGTTTCTACTTATGTGAGTTTGAAGACATAGGTTACCTTCCATGAAAGACTTAAGCTACTTTTTTAGAGCACTTATGAGCAATCCAAGATACATATATGTATAATAAAAAAAATTGCGAAACTATCACATTTTTAAGGGTAAAAGTGTGTGTTGTGGGGTTTCAACTTAAACTCATTAAATTTAAAAATAATTCACTTTTTTTATGCTTGATAACATAAAGTGTTGTCTCACTACACTATGTTAATTTAATTTTATGGACATTAACACCTAAACACATGAATTTTTTCTTATCTAGAATTTGTTGTATCCCTCTTTCACTTATGTCATTAGTGGAGGATTGTGGAAATAATTGAATATAAATACTAATTATTTCAATATTATTATTGACATATTAATTATTTTATCATTGATATTAAAAACATTTTTTAAATATTTGTTAAATGACTGATTCCCTCTACATTGTATAAAGAGGTAACAAAATGAATCTTAAGATAAAGAGAAGATGATTTCCTCATACTATGATGCTTGGGACATTATTTATAAGACTCTTATGAGTTTCAGTCTCGAGTGCACGTGTTTAGACACAATATTATGTAAACCTTGAAGAATAAAACCAAATTTTAGATTATAGATCCACCAAAATTTACTTTGAAGATAATGACTAGTCTCATAACATAGTCCTCTTTCGTTTTATTTTTCTAGTAATATTTTCTAGCAGTAACTACGTTGTACTCAAGGCCTGAGCCATTTAATGTGTGAATGATAATATCAGCATCATCAAGTGGTGAATTAATGATTGTAAGTTAATATGTTAACGAGTAAGAACTCGATGCCATGGAGATACTCATAGAAACACTTGTTTCTTTTAGTGAATTGGTACAGCCTCTCTTTAAGGTGAATGATCCGAGATCTTGTCTTGCTTCATACTTGCTTTGAATTTTTTTTCATTTCCCGAGTATAGTGATGTTTTTTTTTTTTTTATCAACAGATTAAATAATTGATCGTGCAAGAAAGGCATTTCAAATTTGATACCATAAAAGAGAAAACTATCGATGGGATTCTCGATTGTTTTAAATTGATACCACGATGTACATTTATAAAGCATGTTTAGTTCTATGTAGATTGATTTATGTTTAGAAAATTTTGTTTTTTATTAAAAAATAATATTTTCAAAGTCGTCACGGTGAACCAGTTGAGGTGCTTTTTCATCATAGAATTTCTCATACTCGAGCTTTATATTTTATATCAAGCTTAAAGTATTCTTTTTATAATATTTTTGGGTGATTCAAACCCAAAAACCATTTTGTATTTAGAAGAAAGAGAGATCGAAGGAATAAGGTTTTTTTTTTTTTTTTGAATGTGACTCTTAAAGAATGCAAAACCTGGGTATCTTATTAAATTATGGAATAAGAAGTAAAATGGGCCTTATTTTTATTATTATTAGAGGAGTCAAGGTATCGTGTCTTGATAATTATACACAAACAAATATTAAAAATTAGAATATAAGAATTTTTTTTACGGTCTACTAAAAAGTGGAGATCAAAAAAGTGGTTACTAAAGTGTATCTCCTTTATAATAGGTATAGATTATTATTATTATTATTATTATTATTATTATTTTGATACTGAAAAACGTAGATATCCTATTAAATTTTTTAGAACAAAATGTAAAAGGGCCTTTTATCTTTTGTGTAACACGGGATAGAAAAATAAAAAAGGACAAAAAGAAAATATAGATAAAAAGTATTCTTACTTAATCAAATTTTATTTTTTTAGTCGCAATTATATTTCTTATTTTGAACAATAGATGAGAACATCTTTTGTAAGATAATTTTATATATGATAACATCTTCGTTTGCGAAGTTAAAAGTAAATTTTATACTTTCAAATCATTTTTAATAAGTATTCAACTAATTTGTTTTAAATATTATTAATTCTAACTATTAATTTAGTAAAATAGCATTAAAAATATTATTGAATACAATTTACACACTACTGTCAATAGATAATTAATATCAATTCATTTATTAAATCTTTTAAGGATGACTAAGGTTTCAAACTAATACTAACTAATCATATAAGAATCAACAAAAATTTAATAGTTACTCACGAAAATCAACAAAAAAACAAGTGCAAGTCTAAATAATATAGTACCCAACCTATACCATACACACGTATATTTTGTAATTAATATTTTAAATGTTTTTAAAATTGTTGGATGTTGCACGTGTTATTAATACTTTTTGTTTCACTAATTTTTTTATAATTAAATTAATATTAAAAAAGTTTCTTGTTAGCATTAAGATACACTAAAATAATTCATTTACCTATAATGATAGTAACAAGTCTAAGTATATAATTCATAGACATATAAACAGTGTTAAATCAATAGAATTGTCTTAGTTGTGGAGATTGAGTTAAGATAGAATACATAAGTATTAACTTGACTCTTATTGTCATCTTTATAATTCTTTTACTAAAGAATATAAAAGTGGGATTTCTTGAGCAGTTTGTTCAAAATAAAAAATTAAAAAAAAATACTTTAAAAAGAATAATTCTTTAAGAAATGAGTAGGAAAAAAAAATATAAAAACGATTGTATTTTTTAAAAAGAAAAACATAGTTTAGATAAATACATATAAAATAAAAAATAAAAAAAACTGCTTATTTTGATTTAAAAAATTGTTTTTCCCCAGAAAAACTTAAACTGGTATGGACATGGATACTAACTTATTATTCACATGAAATTTAAAGACAATTTTTTGAATGTAGTTATATTAATACAACTTTGTAAACACTATAAATTAAATTTATAATTTAGCTTTGTAATACAACAGCCTTACGAAGATACATTATAGTTTGTGTTGGATAAAACATCCAAACATAAATCATAACACTTAAAAATTAATTTTAACCCAAATCAATTTGTCAATGCTCATCAAAACACATCAAATGTGTGAATCCTTGAGTCTTGCATTTAGTAGAAATAAAAATCTCCTTTTGTAACAAAAGTAAACAAACATTCATCATATCCTACGCAATCCAATCCACTAACGTATTTTATATGACTTCAAACCAATGCAATCATCACTCCTTATTCTTCTATGCTACACAGTTCTATTCAAATTATATCATCAAAAGCCTAAAGTTGGTTGGCGTGCCTTTTTTGGGAGTGCACAATGACCCATCTAACTTATGATGGTGCATAACAATATGCATATAGACATTAATCGTTTAGTTAGGCATGTTTGAATAAACTTCTCACACAAGAACTTCAAAAAAAAAATTTCTTTCTTTCATGTGAGTTGGTCGAAAGTGAAAATCACTTCTATTTACAGCTCTTAATAACTTGTTTGATGAAATTAGAAGCTTTTAAATTATTTGTGATACCTCTGCATCTTTCTATTCATTTCTGTTTCCTTTTCATATATAGCCAAACATTTTTTCTATTTCCTTCTTTCTATTCTCTCACTCTTTTTTTTGTCATCCTTTATATAAATTTCACTTAATATGAAGAGAAAACAATATGCACTAAGCAATGGTTTTACCTTCAAAAATTACTTAAAAACCATAAAGAGAACACGAGAAATGTTATTAACAATTTAACATACCATCCCACAATAATTTCTATTTTTAGATAAATTTCATATACACTCTACTTATTAACTTGCACTCATTTTTCATTTAGTGACATCTGCATAAAACTTATCTAATAATAAAAAATGTTAAAGGAATCATTTGAACACAGCATTCGGAAAAAGAAAACATAACAGCCCAGCCAAGGCACGGTTACACCTTAGAAGTTGCTTAACTGAGCACCATGAATGTGCATTCCAAAATAAAATTAAACCAAACTATATGCATTGTAGCACGAAGATATGAAGGAAGACAACATATATATATATAACATTAATACCATGCAATTTACGATTTCTGCTGATGCCATTCACATCAGAAGATCAGAAATACAAGGAAGGTGAGACATGATTTCATTATAGAAATATCCTTTGATGCTGTGGTCTTTGATTAATCAGACTGACCTACATAAAATACTGCCAGAAACAAAGGGGGGAGGATCTAGAATCCCAAACTGCTCTATAAAATAACGTCAATGAGTAACCTAAATCAACTAGCAGGAACCAAGATCAAAAGTAGGAATCAAGATAATGATATTGGTGCTTCCTATTATACTGTAGCAAGCTTGCATAAGTCCGATCCCAGATTCCAATATACATACACTCATCATCAGGACTCAGAGAAACCCCAGAAATTTCCCCAAAGAAATCAATCTCTTGACGTTTTCTGTAGTCTGCCTTTGTACTATAAACATGCACAAAATCTGCAGGCTCAGCAACCACCATATATTGGCCATCTGAAGAAAATCGAATAGACCGGGTCGCCCCTAGGTTACCCTTGAGAATGGCGATAGGAGATGACAAGTGTCTAGCATCCCATACTCTGCAAGTCTTGTCCTGATTCCCGGTTGCAAAGGTACGTCCATCCGGATGCCATGCAGAAGCAAACGAGTAATCTCGATGACCGACCATTGTGCCAACAGTCTGAATAATCAAACAAGTCCCAAATATGTTAGTGGAAGTTTCTTCTGGTTTTTGGTAGTGTAAAGCTACAAAGTAACTACATGGTGTTCAATTTCATTGCATTCTTATTTTGCAACTTTATCTCCCTTTACCGACCCTTTTCATATATAGCATGCATTCACCGAATCACTATCCCCCATTGAGATGTTTAATTTAATAGTGACTACCCGTATCACAACATATATGGTCAACTAAAGTTTTGCTCATTTCATATTTTCTCCTTGTATGATCAATTTAAACTTAAGACAGGGAGACCAGCAATACGCGTACAAACAAATTATGTTAATTTACCGGTTTCAATTTGATCAAATTAATTCACAAAATATGGTAACCAAAGGCATGCTTCCAAAAATAACAAAGAGCTAGGGACTTATTTTATCGATTGCTTTCCAGTTTTCTACCAATAATTCAAGATTAAAAGAAAATTTCAAGTTCACAAAAAAAAAAAAAGACTAGTCTTTTTTCTCTAGCAATTGCAATATCTAAAAGCCAAATAGGAAACTTAACCAGCTTCACAACCATATACAATAATCATAGACATAAATTTAGGAGAAACAAAATTAAAGGATTTGATTCATTAGCAAACGCATCAACTAAAAGGCCATCAAAAGATAGTAAAAGAATATTCACCGGGAAATAAAGAAGGAAAAAAATGTACTCGAACAGAAATTTCCAATAAATGCATGACCAGAGGAACTATGTACCTTCCCATTTTGTGGATCCACTAGCAATCCATCTAGGTTATCTCCAACAACAGTCATAAGCTTACGGTCTGGACTGATTGACGTGTGCTGCATCAAGAGCAAATAGTTAGGAATCAGGGCAGTATATATAATAAATTTTTAAAAAGCTAATAAAAAATATCCAATCAAAACTTCATTCTCTTGGATTTAGAAATGACGTAGAAAAAATAATAGTTGATAAAAAATGTTATTGCAATAGCCAAGCTTGAAGCAAGAAAATCAATTTAAGACAATCCAACAGTACAAGTTATTTGAACGATAGAAAAACCAGTCAACTTCAATCCTCTTGGCTTTACTTGATTATGCTCCCTTTTTGTCTAATCAAGACATGGAATTTGGAACCTGGATTGTTCTGATACTTGTCAAATTTTCATGCAAATCTTATTTTCAATTCTCACTCATTCTCCTACAAGGGAACGATTTCCCCTAGATAAGTTAATTTGGAAATCCAAAGCTTCTTCTAAGGTCAATTTTTTTTTTGTGCAGCTTCAAGTCCGACTGCATTGTTAAGCTGTGAGCTACTTCTGAAATCATCTTTTTGGTATTTTTGCAAGAAATGAGTTTGTCCTAGTTGGTTCGATCAGTTTCTTCATGCTCACATTTAAGGATTCGGAAATAAGAATTAAGATGAAAACCAATACAATATGGCCATGTGTGGTTTGTCGGTGTATGCAAAAATTGGGAAGGAATGTTTGTATCTATAAGGTTGCGTCATGTCTTTCAAATTTTCTAGTGTGTGTGGCTTCTCTTTGGAGTTCAGGAATCAGCATCTAAGATATGCAAAGAGATTGTTCTTCTACACTTACTAGTTTTATAGTTATAGGACATCAGTTTTGTGCCTTTGTTTTGATTTTCTTTACCTGTTCTAAGAATTCTTATCTGGCATCTTTTGATACTATTTTCTCTTTCTATCTCTAATACAATATTTTTCTAATCAACAAAATAAATAAATAAATAAACACAGCAGTATAAGAGAGGAAAATTGAAATGAACTGAACCTGAATGGGAAAATAAATAGCCAACAGCAGTAATTGAAAAAGCAAAAGAAAATAAAAATAAATAAATAAATAAACTGCATCAGTTAGATTGCTTAGAGATGCTCACATTCACTGGCCAAGAGAACTGGAAGTTATTCAAAAGCTGAAAACTTTGTGTGTCATATTCTCTCACACCACAATCATTATTGGAAGCAATAAGATGTGTTGCGCCACTGCAAAAGTTTTGATGTTAAGCAATGTTCATGTTCCAAACTGACACAAACAAACTTGGTAAGAAAAATACCTCAAGCTTTCATATATATCAATTGCATTTGTTATAGCATTATCATCATGTGTTGTCCGTGTACAAAAGCTTACTCCCTTCTTATCCAAACGCTGCATTCAATATAGACATTATAAGCTGCATCCAACATAATCCTAATAGGATAAACAATAGAAACAGAGAGAAGTAGAGGCTTGTGTAGCAGCAATAATTCCTACTACATACCCAATAAAATGAATAAACTAATCTATGTGCTAATTAATAAATATATATTGCTGAGCTAGGCGGCAGCAAGACAGCAACAATAGGAGAAAGAGAAGAAAAATCACCAAGGTCATATAATCATGTATGAGGATTCAAGTACGGTAGTACTACATACACAAGAACAACCCATACAAAGACAACCTACATATACTGACGCCATCTTAAGCATTAGCTTGACAGTTCTTATGTAAAGAGCATAAAAAACTAATAAGGCAAGTCCTGTGAATTAAGGAAAATTTGACCCCCAAAATCAAGGGTTATTAACTAGGAATTAACCTTACGTGATTAAGTGGAGCTTGGTTGAGAAGTGTTTGTGATAGAAACAAGAAATAAGAGTAGAAATAAGGGAGAACAAGCTCCCCACAAGCAGAGGTAGCCATTTTTTAAAGTAAAAACAAGGTGATACTTTTGTAATTATTAGTAGAAATAGAGAATGAAAAACAAAATACATTTGTTTGAACCATACAGGCCTTTTGTTTTCCAAGATTCAATCTTAACTCTAGATATTACTCACCAAAGTCAAAGCTTAACAATCTTTAACAGGGAATTTACCAGAAATGAAAATCTAACAAAAATGTCTCCCTCTTTAGTAAATATAAAGATAATATAAAAAAAAAAATAAAGTTTTAATAAGATTAGAGTGAATTTAGACTCAAACTTTTAGTAACTCAAAGCAAAGGAGTAACCCTTCCCAATGCAGGCACAAACATGGGAAAAAAATGGCAGAGAAGACATAATTTCCTCATTTTAAATTATCATACTGGCATGTAAATATAATAACAGCACAAATCATGTGGACTCACCTTACAAGTAAGCTCTCCTTGAAACCCACCAGCAACAAGAAGATTATCCTTGACAGCCAATGTGCTAATCTGGGTCTGTGAAAATCCTTCCAACAAATTTCCTGCATATCTCTACAAGACCAAAGAATGATAGTTATGTAAAGCAAAGGAATTATAAATGCATGCTCAAGTAAAGCATTATTGAAGCAATTTAAGATTGTGTTCTTCTATACAATTAATTATAATTAACAGTTGTAATTGTAACTAAATTGTTTACTCAAATGAACCATGTTATCTTCTCCAATTCATTAACAACACATGCATATTGAACAGCTGTAGATTTCTAACGATAAAATAATGTAGATTCCACATATAAGTCTTGCATTAATAAAGCATGAAAAACACAAATAACACTCATCTTCTATCTTTATAATAGATAAAAAGGATGTGTAAGAGAATGCATTACCTCAGTAGGGGCCACATGCCCTGCAAAATTGATTATCTCGGACAAATTACCACTTAACGATGACCAGTGATTAACTGAGTAGTTGGAGATGAGGTAGACATCATGTTTTGAAGTTGCCCATACTAAGTTTCTCAGCTGCATCCCACAAAACAAATGTCATTAAGCTAGATTTTTCTTCTTCTCTTCAGTAAAAATCTTTAGGGCTGAAAATTAATAAGAAAGCACTCAAACCTATTATGTAAGACCATAAACTATACAGAGAAACATTACTTCTGTGTTCAATGCAAATGGACACATGCTTGTTTTATATACAACAAAACAGCCTCAATCCAACTTCTACAGTATCGTACAGTCAACGGGTTAGACAACAATGTCAAATTGAAGATTCTCCGGTCCAATCTGTTTTCCTCAATTTCCATGAATAAAATTAGTGTATAAGAAGTACAGGCACGCCGTTTTGGTCAAATACATAAGACAGGCAACCACCAAAATAACATACATCCAAGCACACACGAGTTAGCAACTGCTTATTAGCCATACAAAACATACAAAGGAACAAGAAGAAAATAGCTAGGTGCATGAAGCATGTGAAAAGTCAACAAACCTGAAAATGAAGGATGGTAGGCTTAACCATTCTTGTATTATAGAAGAATTCATAGTAATTTCCACCCTTCTCCATTTGCTTGCACTCCTGGGACCCCAAATAGATAAATAAATAAACAAACTTTGAACATCAAAACATTAGTCAAACAAATTCTGATGCTATTTCCCTGCTCCCCAACAACCCCAAATAATTGACACAAAAAAAGAGGCAAAGGTTAACACAAAAGGAAAAAAAAAAAAAAAAAAACCTTGTCCACAGCTTCCCCAGACGTAAGAATATTCTCAAAATTCCTGTATTGCTCAAGCCTTGTCAACCTGTACCTCTCTCTGGAAAAAGGAAAAAGTTAAAAAAAAAAAAAAAAAAAAAAAAAAAAAAACCTTGTCCACAGCTTCCCCAGACGTAAGAATATTCTCAAAATTCCTGTATTGCTCAAGCCTTGTCAACCTGTACCTCTCTCTGGATATGTTCAACCTCTCCCATGGAATTCCCTGAATGTCCTTTCCCTTTCTTGCTTGAGCAGCTGATGTATCAGTCACCTTAGTAAGCTGTTCCAATGACCAAACACAACAAAGACATAAAAAATCCAATTTTTATCAGTTGAATGAATACATAACATAAAACAAGTCAAAAACAAAGCAGACCCTAAAAGAGAAAAGGAAAAGGAACACAACAAACCATCTCATATTCATCAAGAGAAGCATCCCCAACACCCCCACCATGGTTTTGGTCATCTATGTCGTCAAAGAAATCGTCTTCGTCCATGTGATCAAAAGGGTACATGTCATCGTAGGACATGATGGGTTTCGTGCATCAAATTTCAAACCTTGCGTTGATTGCAGCGTGTTGCTTCTGGGATTAGGATTAGGATTAGGAAAGGTGAATGAAGAAAAGAAACGAACACGGTTACCCCTTCTCCTGCATCTTAATTTACCAATAAAATAATCTGAGCCAAAGAAGGAAGGAAGCAATGAATGGAATAATAAAAGCCTTTCTGTAACGTGCGTTTTTTAAATTAAATATCAACATAATAAATATTTTATATCTTAATAAAAAATATTATAAAATATAACATTTATTAATATATATATA